AATTGGTCAACATCGCCCAACCCTATATATATATATATATATTTTTTTTTTACATTTTTGATCTTATAAGTATTCAAAATCACATAATTGCATGCATTTTTCAGTAAAAACAGCATACTTCTTTTTTGTAGTGACGCTATTATACTTGCAACTGGCGTTTGAGGGTTTGTTTCATGCTACGCTGCTTCTGAAATATCCTATAAATGGCTTCAGGAAAGTTACTAAATCTCTGGCCAGACTCAAAGTTGACATTGTTTCTCAGTGCTTGGGATAGGTTTATAGCGATTTCTGTTGTAAATGGATCTTGTTGTGTGTGTATAATGTGTGTGTGCAGCTGTCTTTTTATGTGGGCCCAGACGTAGAGCTTGTTTCTCTTAGGCAAGTGTTGAAAGCTACACCTGGACTGAGCTGTTCTCCCCAAAGCACACCTGGTGACTGTAGCCGGGCAGTGTGGGATAGGTTTCACAAAAGTGTTGAAATATGTCCTAATAGCTGTTTGATTAGGACTAGGGCTGCACGATATTGGGGAAAAAACTGACGTTGCATTAAATCTGCTGTTTTATAAAATATTGTGCAGCCCTAGTGGGATTGTAGGAAAATATCAGTTGACAGTAATGGTAAATACAATGCCCACAGGTCAAGTAGCACGTGAATAAAGCTGCCAAGAGATATTTTTGGCAGTGAAGTACTTTCACAGAGCGAACAATAAGCCATTCATTGGTTGATTACACCGAAATTACACACTTCACCTTAAATGTAATCACTTGCATCCTATGAGACTGAGAAATAATCAGTTTTGCTGTGGAAAGAGTTTGTTTAAACTGTTTGTATCCACAGTTTGGCTTATTGCAGAGCATATTTCCAAATAATATGCTGCCTGTTTTAATGTAGTCCAAGTTTTTTGATTTGTTTAGGAAGATTTGGTCTTGCATGAAGAGAACTCGGATCGATCAGGTTTATGTAAATTGTGCAAGTCTGTTCTGTTTCTCTCTTTTGCTTTCAGCGGTGTGATCTGTTTGCTCTGAAATCAAGATAAAGCTGTATCTTCTCCATCTGTCTCCAGCAGTAGACCTGCAGGTTTCTTGCCAGACGCTCATTTGAATGCTAATTGTTAGATCGTCTCGTCTGCTGTCGAAGACCCAGACGAGCGGTCATTATTACCCACTCACCCCTAAGGACGTGTATCTGAAATATTCAACAAAATGCAACCTAAAGTCTGGTTCACACTGTGATTTTTACTTTTTTTTTATATTCCTGATTAAGGTTGCACAATATATCGTTTCAGCATCGATATCGCAATGTGATCATTCGAAGTTGGTGCACATTACATAGACTTCCATTTATTTTATACAGCCCAAACCGTATATTATATTGCCCCCACCCCACCCCTAAACCCAACCATCACAGGAGTCAGTGTGCAGCTTTACTCTCTGATGTAACTCATCCTGTGGGATTTATAAGCATTTTGAGAAATGAAGACCTCACCAATGTCCTCGTATTTCACCTCCTTTTTGTAATACCTGTGTCATACCCATGTCATTATACAGATTTGTGTCCTGATATGTCACAAAAACACATACACACACTAGAAATTCTCCAGGTGTTTTGTGTGCATTGTATTGTAAACATGAGGGAGGGGATTCACTCAGCAATCACTACTCATGAAAATCAGCATGTCTCTATAATTGATCTTGACAGATAAGAGTCAGAAGGCAGCGTGTGCATGTTTATCCATACAAACTGCAGCATGTTCTCAGGCTTTTCTCTTTCTTTCATCTCTTGACAAGGATCGGCCTTCGAAAGCTTCAATTAAAGTTCCCCAGAATCAAAATGTAAACAAATAGAACCGTAATTGCAGACTGAGGGAAAGCAAATCTGACAGAATCTTTAGATATCGTGCAGTTACATAAGACTCCTCATATGTGCAATATGTAAGATGTCTGTTTTAATTAAGACTGTGGTCTTAAAGAGTTTTCCTTTTCATCCATGTTGTCAGACTGAATATTCAGTGGAGAGATGAACCGTCTTTGTTTATCAAAAGCCAAGCTAGATTTTAAATTAATCTGAAAACTAACATTTAAATTCAATTAAGCAAATGTATGTGATGAGCAACATTGAAATTATTATTATTTTTAAAATGGTACAGTCAAGTACTGTTTTGCTTGAAAAATGCCTCCCAAAAAAGTATTATTAGCAATGTTTAGGTTTACATTGTAAAGTTTGTGACACTTTAAAAACTTTAGAAAATAATAGATTATACAAGTTTTTAAGTCAAAATCCTTCATACACAAGAATCACTTGATTGCATATAAAAGGCTTATTAAAATATATGACGTGATGTCACTAGCTATGTTTCCATCTAAAAATGCAAATTCATGCGCAAAACTGGATTAGGCGTGCGAATAAGGAAGCTTTTCAATCCACCAAGTCAAAGCGAACAAAATTGTCACTTCCTTGATTAACTGGCGCCAAATATCAACAGTAAAAACTAAATCTGCTGCAGTAGGAGAAGTATAAAAAATGTATATTTTTTATTAAACATTTAAATTTTATTTAATAATTAATCATTTATTTATTTAATTAGTTAGGTATACTATTAAAATGTGTTGCTCTCTTAAATTAAGTTGAACTATTTTAACTTAACACGTCATTTTAACTTGCATTATTTAAGCTGACTTTAATTAACTTAATGTTTTAACTTCAAGAATAAGTTGAAACCTGATAAACTTTATAAATTAATTTAATGTAAAAATATATGTTGTCGTGACTTTTTTTTTTTTATTAGGTTCATCTTAGGTCAGACATTAAAACATACATAATACGGATACATATAGATGTACGCATTGATACAATTCACCAAACAAAAAATTATTCGGGAAACATAATTATACACTAAATAAGTATATAAACAAAGATAAAATACCACATTTATACACAAAGATATACAAACATAAGATGTCGTGACTTTTTTTATTTCAACGTTTTTCTTATTTTTTTTTTTAATAATATTTTTATGATTTATTTTTGTCAGTATATTTAATATCATTTCTTATTTAATTATGAAGTTATTATGCTTTTATATTGATCTTGCCATGAAAAAGCCCTAAGTTTCTGATGTGACAATAAATAATCAAACAAACTTGCTTATAGAAAAATAGACAAATTTTTCGATATTTGGACTAGAAATAAGACCACCGCTAAGTTAAAAATAAAAGCATTTTATTTTTATTTATTTTACATTTTTGGCAATGAACGGCTTTGATTACATCAGCAAAAATAAAAGTTGATTTCAGGAGTTTAGAAAGTGATTACAGTTCAGGACAAATTAATGTATTCCTTGAAAGTACATGCACTGAATCTGGCACCATAAATTTATTAAGAGCATAAATCGTATTTGTTTTGATTGCATGACTTTTTCGTTATGCACATATATCCTCTCAGTGCTGCGAGACACTTGATGTCCCTCTTCCTTAATGCTTCGCACATCTGGAAATCCACCGATCTGTTCGAGTGAGAAGCGGATGGGGATGTTTGTGTTCTCAAAGCCAGAAAAATATGTAGGCTGTCGCAGTAGGCCAAGCTTGTAATAAAGTCACCCCTCGGCAGCCCATAATAATAACAGTCTGGCTGGGACCTGCGGATAAAGGGTTGCGACCGCATCCGCTATACGACCGTCCCTAAAACAGACAACCACAAACCGTTGTGGTGATTCCTCTGGAATGAACATCCCTGTTTACTGCTGAATTACACAAAATGGAGGAGACGTGCGCAAGATGCTTCCGCTAGTGTTTTGGCTCTGGAAAACACAAACAAATATGATTCAGCAGTGCGTTCGGTGCAGGATGTTTGCTCGTTTCCATTTAACAGACCTGTTTAAAGGGCAGCTATAATGGAACCCTTTTTTATAAGATGCATTCTGCGTGAATTTCTCCTAAATACCTGCATGCGGTTAACATTTTGCAGTGAAAATGGATCGCACAGCAACAATTTCATGCATGTGCACAAATGCTCCCAAATATATTTTGAGGTCACATAGAAATATTTCGGGCGCATATGCAACCAAACGGTCGCAGTTTCGAGCCCTGCAGTTTAATCCTAATAGAGTGAATGATTTGCATTTGGATGTATTTTTAAGACTCATGATTACGATAACAAGCGAATTTGAACCAAGAAATAAACAAAAAGTTTAGATTTAACAGAGTAATTGTATTTAATTATTTATGCAGTGTAGACAATACAGTGTTTTTTTTTACAGTTGATTTAATATACAGCGGGGAAAATAAGTATTGAACACGTCACCATTATTCTCCGAAAACATATTTCTAAAGCTGCTGTTGCTGTTCACGGGATGTTGATAGCTAAGAAATCCATATATGCAAAAAAATAAATAAAAAATCAAATTAACTAGTTTTTGTTGTTACTATGTAAGATTACAATGCAAATTTCATTTTCATTTCTCAAAACTTTTCCCTTTGCAGTTCTTTATTTTTGTTAGGAAAATTTAATTTAATTTCTCTAAAATTTATTTTCGCTTTGCGATTTATAAAGATTTGCATTTATTTATTTATTCATTTCTTGCTCAAGACTTTATTTTTTGTTTGCAAAACTTTCTTTTATTTTGCAAGTTTCTATGGCCCTAGATTGACTCAATAGTCGACGCACTAACCACTAGGCAATTGGCGCCGACCTAAAATATTATTTTATTTATTTAATATATTTGATTTTTTTAATATATTCGTTTAATAAATCTGTTTTGTTCAAATACACCAAAATATATGAGCTACATTCACTGAGAAACGTCATGTTTTTATTTTCAAAAATGGGTGTACTCATTAATGTTGAGCACTGTATATCAAACAATTGTCAAAATATTCTTTTGAGTCCATATTTTGATGTTGTCATTTTTTTTTTCTTTTCATTCACAATAGATCATATTTGCTCTTGAAGTTCAAGATTTGTTTGTCTGTCATTACCTGATCTGTTTTTTGTTTTCTCCACAGGATCTTGAGCAACAACAAAATCCAGGAACTTCTGAATGGCTCTTTTGTTGGTTTATCATCACTGGAGCGACTGTAAGTTCAAACCGTGCTACTTTTCCTCTCTGTTTATTTGTTCTAGATGTAATTAGATGTACACATTTACAAATATTTTCGGTCTCACTTTATATTAAGTGGCCTTAACTAATATGTACTTACACAGGAATTAATAGTTTGTTACAATGTACTTATTGTGTAAATACATGTATTTACTGTGTACTTATGCTTGGTTAAATACATGTATGTAATTGCATCTGTAATTAACTTCTGTAATTACATTTGTAAATACACTGTTGATCATCCCTTACACCTTAACCCACCCTTAAACCTACCCATGCCACCAAACCTGTCCATAACCCAACCTCTATCCCAACTCAAAAAGCACCACAAGTGTTCTCAAATACATTATAAACACAGTAAGTACAGTGTATTTTATGTAAGTACATAGTAGTTAAGGACATTTAATATAAAGTGGAACCACTTTTCTTTCAGTTTTGTCTGAGAACTTTCCTCAGAAGTCACTTTTACTATTAGAGCATGCTGAAATAAGAGGGCAGGATCTTGGTAAAATTGCAAGAAAAAATAGTCAAAGGATGCATTTGATGCACAGCGGATCACAACCCACGGTTTGGAACACACATGACCTGCGTATGTTAGCGAGAAATTAACATTTGTAAAAGTTCAGTACCCATTAGTATTGGATTCCAGTATTGTGACAATACTATTCTGTAGTGGATTTAGTTATTGATTAAGATTATTTGACAATTTCAGTCATTATACATCATTGACATGCAGTCTAAACAGTCTCTGGATCATTGCATGTTTTGATTTTGGACATCTTCTGGGACACTTTTAGTGCTTTTGCTGTATTTATAAAGCAGCACCCATGTATTCAGGCTGTTCAGTTTAATTTAATTTCTTGGTGTGATTTGATTGGACCGGAATCACTGGACTTTTCTACTCAGCCAATGCCCAGACAAGGAAAAAATAGTAGTGACTGCAGGTTGAAGGAAAATAGTGGAGTACCGAAATATACTCAATTCCTGGGAAAACCTACTCAGTTACATTAACTCAAGTATTTGTAATCTGTTACTTTACACCAGTGTTTATACCTGTGTTATGATGCATTGTTGACAATCACAAGTAGACATCACTAAATAGTGTTAAACTAGTCTAAAACATTTTGACCTCGTCCACTTTTAAACCCTTCCAGAGGTAGTTAGACGTGTTATTTGGTGTTTGATCGGTTTGCTTTTGTATGAAAACTCTCAAGTGGTCAATGCATTCTCACAGTCACAAAAGACCACATTCTCTCGGCCTGCTGACCGAACACTTGATCATTATGGGATGTGTTTAAAGTGCACTACAATAAGGGATTCATGCTTTGTGGCTTTGTTCTGGCTTGCTTTCCTGCTCACTCACATATGGGTTTGATTATTCAATAGTTAAAAAGCCATAGATCTGCCACTGATCATGTGCTGTTGCACAATATAGTAGGGCTGTCATGATACTGGAATTCGGTAGCAATCGATAAGGAAATGTTTCATGAAAAACATCCATTTCCTGATAACATTTAAGCGCTGTTGAGCACGTTCTTAAACAGTGCTGATTTGCCATTGTGTTTACATGCTCAACAGAAATGACTGTGATTGGCCATGAAAGTCATCAGTTTCATTCACTGATCTCACCACTGTTTACTGAGTGTAAACACAGATACCAGGAAACTGAAGCATTTTAAAGACGTGATTCATCAGTGGATCGCTCGTATGTCAGCTTATAGACACCTGTCAAGAACCTGTCGCAAGGATGCATAGCGCAAGCTCTGTGATTGGTCGGCTTGGTACTGTTGACAGACATCCCAAGTCTCTCGGAAGTTCCGGGAGTCTCTCGCAGATGCATAGAGACTTCTGGGTGCCTGCAAAGTCTTGCGTCTGCCTCCCGGTCCTCAAATACACCCCTCCCCCACTACCGTGTCCCTTCTTGCTCTTCAGACACGTCGCGCGCACTCTGTAACCACCCAGCCCCCGGTTTCACAATGTAAGATTACTTTAACTGCTATAATAACCAAAATAATACTGAGTGTATTGCTTTATTGAATACATGTATGATCAGAATAAACAAAATGCATTAACATCATCCTCCTTTTGTAATTTAAATGTCTTTATTATAATCATTTTAATTTTATGGTAGAGGTAATAAAGCATTAAATTGTATAAGTTAGTGACTACTTAATAAAACAATTATGGCATTTTATTTTAATGTGTTATTAGCCAATAACTAAGATTTAATGTTTTGAGTTTCACGAGAGCACCACTGCAATTGTGGTTATTGATTGCACTTTTTATGCATATATTTATGGTGTTTATTTTTATTTATACTATTTAGCATTTTTGCCTGTCTGTCAGTTGAGTTTGTGGGAAATATTTACATGTTTATTGCTGCGTATAATTTATTAAAATAGAAGTTTTAATTAAAAGTACAAGTTGATTTTAAAATACACCTGCATTTAAATTTTTTTGCATCCATTTTTTTCTCCTATATATATATATATATATATATATATATATATATATATATATATATATATATATATATATA